TCATATGAATGGCCACAATGGGGTTTGGCCCTTTTTACTACAAGCCATTCTTCAGGGCCTAGGGATCCCTTGATGGCAATGCACCTGTTTACCAGGGAGAAAATGTAATTCTGTGACACGTAATCATTATAGAATTATGCTTTTAGAAGCTGAGCTTTTGTTGTAATAAAATGATGAATGAGTATTGAGCACTCTTGTAAATAGAGTATTTGGAGATACCGGTTAGAGCTTAATTGGAATGCAGTTATTTTAAGCAGCCAACTCACTATTTTTACAATGCTATAATTTTCTATTATAAAATGTATTTTTCTGTTAAACTCCACGTAATCAGTTTTTGGTCTTTCTCTCCCACTTCCTTTGTGTGTGCACTTTCATTTCTTTAAAGGGGTGACATTCATAGTTTGGAATATATGCTGAGGCTGCTGATTCTATTTTTGGATCTGTTATTCTTGGAGAAAACACCCTTTAATTGGGGTAGGGGTGTGTGAAAGAGACAGGAATAGGAGGGGAGCTCTAGGAAGGAAAGCGTTTCACTGAAAGCATCAACTTCAGACCCTTCTAGCTTCTGTCAGTTCCCCCTGGGGCATGAGACTCTTAAGGTCATTTCTAGGATTGGTGTTCTGTATAACAGTGCAGAGTTGCAAAACTGTCGAACTACCAGGCTGGATTAGAGAGCTATTTCTACAAACGTTATACATTTTTTTTTTTTTAAATTATGTGGCTCCCCTTCTACTCTCCCAGGATCCTAAAGTGTTATCAGCATTCCTACATGCTTTCAGTAAAGCAGAAATGGAATGAAGCTTGAGAGAAATGCAATGTTAAAATAAATGAAATCTAGTCTCTTTCCTAAAAAGCGAGTTATAACAAGTTTCAGGTGCAACATCTGTCTCTCCTTCCCCCTGCTAACTTTTATAGTTTTGCAATTACATTTTCTCTATCCTTTAATTGTTTCTCTCTCTTTCACTCTCTCTCTCTCTCTCTCTCTCTTGCTGCAACATAAAAGACCTGCACAAATAGGGAAAACTGATGGATTGTCCAGGAAAAACAGTGAGACTTACTACACACAGTGTCTTGAAATAAACCGAGTAAACAAGCTGAAATAGGTTTTTCCAATTTCTTTCAGCTACAGTAATCTTAGTGGTTACCAGTTGTAGGTGAAAAAAAATTAGACAAGTGTGATTTTTTTAAGATGATGGTGTCTCTTTAAAGCAAAACTTTAAAATGTAATGGGGCAAAAGAAATTTTATTACCTGTAATTGTTATTAGCATGCAAATTCCTGAGAAGGAAGCCATATCTTCACAACCTTCTTAAAAACTATAATTATCATACACCTGTTTGAATAACTTGGCAGATTCACTTTTGTTTAATGGCAATTTTGTAGCATGTCATATAGGCTCTATTATTGGGTTAATTATGAGGAAAGTTAATTAGCTGAACATGGCTACACACAGAACTGTGTAACAAAGCAATTTCTTACAAAAAACAGCCATGGATCTGTCTGGATCATACAAACATCATGGAATTTCAGACAAGAACCCTTATTTTTCAGATGTACAACACGAGCCTCTGTCATTTGAGCTAACGAGCCCTCTTGTAGCACTTGATGATATTAACTCCTGTTTTCTCTTTTTGCCCAGCCTCTTCAGAGCAAAATCACTTATTCACTCATACATATGATATGCCAGTGTGTTGCAAGCATCACTTTCATCCTTTAAATCAAGATTGGAGATCCTTCTAAAAGAGTAGCTCTAGCTCAAACAGAAGTTATGGGGCTGATACAGAAATTCGTTTGTGAGATTCTATGGCCTGGGTGACACAGAAGGTCAGATTACAAGATCATAATTGTCCCATTTGGCCTTAAAATCTATTAACCAGAAAGCAGGGCACCTAGATTTTATTTCCGGCTCTGACAAGTTGCTGTATGATCTTGGGCGTCACCCTCACTGTTCTTCAGTTTCCCTGTTTGTAAAACTGGGACAAGGGTAGCAGCGTTGTGTGTCTCATGCCACTGATGCTTTTAAAGGCTTTTGGGATTCCAGGAGAGAAGATGTGTCAGCACTGCACAGTTCCTGGCTGGTGCAGAGGTAACTTACATACCTACTGGGTATAGTTCACTGTCCCACGCACGGGCACTTAGACCACTTACAGAGAGAGAGCGCGAGTGAATGAATGAATGAATTTGCTTTATAGCCTTAGCTGAGAGCCCGCTGGCTTTTAGCTCAAACATTAGAGGCTCATGCACTAAGCGCCAGAGGCCCCGGGTTTGGTTCCATCTGTTGGCGTTACACTGGTGCACCCCTCCCTGCGACTCATGTCATCAGTGCTGTTTTGCTAACTAGCAAAAGAGCTTTTCCTGTAGCTGAAAGGCAGGGGCCTGTGCTCTTTGAGACAGATGGAACTCAAGTCTATCCCCACTGTTGCCAAGAGGCTTCATTTGGCCACAGCTTGGTGACAACAGTGAAGTGCTCTGAGGTTACAGATTTTGCAGTGAGAGTTTAGCACTCTCCCAACAGTGCTTTCCTATGGGCTGGCCGTTTTTGGCAATGGCTTTTCTTTCATGGACAAAGAACAGCCCCGCATGTAAACAAGAGTTTGGGAGGATGTGAGGGATTTGCCTGCTCCAAAACAGGCCTTGGAGAGCAGGCTGGCTGGCACTAGGAAGGAACTGAGGGCTGGAGGTGGTCCAGAGGCAGCTGTTGTGTGCTTAGCAGTGGTGTCATCATTTTCTCAAGGCCTTGGCTTGCCTGCTCCCACATAGTAACCACCAAACACTGGCTTGGGCCTGGGGCTGGACAAAGAGGGGAGAGATAACCACAAGGTCTCACTGGTTATTGATCCCCCCTGGGTGGGAGGAGGGAAGCAGCATTGCATGAGAATTCCCCTCCTTAGGGGAAGACACGCTGGGAGTCTGATCCCTGGGTTCACATCCCGAAAAGCAATGTTTGGTCAAGGTTACGGGTGGCCGGATCCAGCTGTCCTTCCTCAGGCAAAGTTTTGGCTGGGCCACAGCTGCCCAGGCTTTTGCTAACCAATTTAAGCCAACGTGAGGAGAAGGCAGAAGGCCCAGCAGCTTCTTTGATTGCCGAGTGCTCCCCTCTGCCCTCCCAGCCTCAGCCTCACCCTCTCAGCTGTGTAGCGCTAGGAGCACAAGGTGCTGTGCTAAGTTGGAGTGACAGCCAGCAGGGACCCTAGTGCTCCACAGGGCAGCTGAAGAGGCGGTCAACCTAGCAGAGAGCTAAGGGGGAAACACTAATGAGGATGGAACAGGGTGGTGATAGAAAGCAGGGAGGGAAGAAGAGGAATTTCAAGGCTGGCTGGCTGGAGGTGGAAGAAGAGACAAGGAGGTAAGGAACAGGTTGCGAGAGAAATCCAGTGACACGAGCAGTCAGTGCAGGCAGGATGGGAAAAGTGCCTGGAGGAAACCTCCAATTCACCCGCATTTCTACAGCTGTCCAGCAACAAGGGAGTGGGACAGCAGTTCCCCAGATTGTCTTCCCCTGCCTGTGCTTGGAAATATTGCCTGAGTGACTGAAAGGTTGGGGCCTTGGGAATGAAGGAGCATTAACTCTCTCTCTGTTTCTCAAGTTTCTAAAGGGTTAATAGCATCAAAGTGATTCTGGTTGTTTTATACATCTTTTCTGCATGTGACAGTGTTACTATATCTTGAGCCCGCTGGAGGAAGTGTCTCCTATTTTCTAGGATAGTGCAAGTCCAGGCTCTATTGGAACCATTTGAAAGAGGAAATCTCTGACAGATAACACTCTGAGGAACCTATTCATATCAGGTTTTCAGTTTGGTGTGTAGGTTTTTTTCTCCCAAATGCCCTTTTGAAACACAAGCTGCATAGGGGGAGGTGACAAAGGCCTTGGAACAGTAGCAGAGAGGCTTTGATAACACTCTGGGAGAGAGATGTGGCCATCACTCCAAATAGAAAAGCTTTATCCCCATTGATGCTGCAACTCTGATCTGAGTTCCTTGATTCTAAGTTGGTTCTAAGCAGGGTGCATGCCCACAAGCCACTTAGCTAACCCTCAGTTACTATCGAGGGCAACTAATCATGCTGCACCTTTGCCAGTGGGCAAAGCAGGTGCATGGATGTTCACCTGTATACACTGTAGGTGATGGGATTGCTTAACTGGGTTTGCTGCTTAGCCAGTTGGTCAGTCCTCCTTTCTCCCAGCTATTTGTTCGGTAGGACATCCCAAATGTGTGTCTGTTTGCTCTCCTTGTGTAGTCCATTGGATTGTCTATCCCATGCCTGGGCAGTATGGGATAGCTGACTGTGAAGGCTCAGTAATGGTGAGTGTTACAGTGCTAATAACACTGCATGTGAGGAAGAAAACTGGTGACACCATGCTGGTCATTGCATCCCGGGCATGCTTTTGTTATTCCTATTTATTCAGATAGCTACATAAATAGTCATATTGCTTAGCAAAACACAAAGAGCTTAGCATGTAATTCAGGCAACACAAACACAGGCAAGAAATTGGGACTGCGAGGGTATGGGAGACATCGCTGGGGAGAAATCAGTGGGAAGGGATTGGAAGTGGAGGAGGCTGGTCATTGCATCCCGGGCATGCTTTTGTTATTCCTATTTATTCAGATAGCTACATAAATAGTCATATTGCTTAGCAAAACACAAAGAGCTTAGCATGTAATTCAGGCAACACAAACACAGGCAAGAAATTGGGACTGCGAGGGTATGGGAGACATCGCTGGGGAGAAATCAGTGGGAAGGGATTGGAAGTGGAGGAGGA